CTCTTTGTGGCGTTGCCTCAGATGTTGAACTAGATTTGTTGCGCCAAGTTCACACGTACTCCATCTGCAGTGCGTATACAGTATGTGTATGCATGAGTATGACTCATTTTGCTTTCGCACAGGACGCGTTTGCAGTCTGCTCCTCGCGATTTTATGACGATTTCGATTAATCGCACAGCCCTAGTATATACATAATACTAAAATAACACTGATCGGAAAGGACAAACACTACATTACCTTTTTTCCTTTAACATTTGAGCAGAATTACCTTTGAAATGTTTAAACATTGACATTCAGTGCTATTCAAAAAATAACAATGCCATTTTAATAATAGCAAATATGTTATCGTTCATATTCTCTCCAGGATCTGGTCAATAATGGTGCTCAGGTGTGCATCTGCAACAAGTACGGAGAAACTCCACTAGACAAGGCCAAACCACCGCTTGCCGCACATCTGAAAGGTAAACTGTTTCTTTAATAATGTAGCAAATGTAATGTAAGCTGTAGATTTGTTGGAAGGGCTGTTTGCTAACATTGCCTCAAAGATTTCTTTCTGTTATAATATGTTCCATCAGCCCTAATAATTCTGTTGTGTTTATGAATCAGAGCTGGCGGAAAAACAGGGACAAAGCCTGACCAAAGTTCCTTTCAAGGACACTTTCTGGAAGGGAACCACTCGAACGCGACCACGTAAGCATCATCAGAACATCTGATTCTCATTTACATTCATAACGTAGATGCTTTGGCAAACAAGCATTTTAATGTCATTCAGCGTAACTGTGTATAGATTGCCTTATGAAATTATATGAATTGTCCACAACTGAGGTTTGATTGTTGTATATTTTTTCCCATGATGGCTGCAGGTAATGGCACACTAAATAAACATGCTGGCATAGATTATAAGCAGCTTTCCATGCTGGCCAAGATCAACGAGAACCACTCTGGGGAGGTAAGCTCATCTACCAAACCAAACCAAACCACAATAAGTACCCATTTATTCCCAGTGTTTATGGCAACACTGATGTCTCTGCTCTCTCTCTGGCAGCTGTGGCAGGGCCGCTGGCAGGGCACAGAGATTGTGGTCAAGATGCTGCATGTGCGGGACTGGACTACAAGAAAGAGCCGTGACTTTAATGAGGAGTACCCTAAACTAAGGTGATGAACCGCCAGTCCAGTGTGCCCACATTACACAAATTAAAGAGACAGTTTGCCCAAAAATGAATATTGTCATCAGGTACTCACCTCATGTCGTTCCAAATCAGGGTAAATATAGTTAACTAAATCCCTAAAAAAACATTTTTGTTAACTGAAATAAAATATAAAAGAAATTTTCTTTTAATTTTTTATTTTTAACTTGATGTACTGAAATATCTAAAACTGAAATACTGAAAAAACTGAAAACATATAAAAAATATAGACAAAAAAACCGAATAAAAATGACTAAATTACTAAAACTTGAACTAAAATTTAAATGAAAACTAAAAATATAAATAAAAAACTAATTCAAAATAGTAATAAAAACTATAATAGTAGTTTTATTTAATTTTATTGATACTAAAATAACACTGTTCCAAATCTGTATTGCTTACTATCTTCTGAATGCCCTAGTCACACTTGAATGGAGACAGGACATAAAAAGCAACATAAAAAATCCATATGACTCGTGCACTGAAGTCATATGATAGCTTTGTGTGACAAACATAACAATTTAAGTTGCCATTCACTGCTAATTTGCTGCAACTGAATCATTAAAAATCATTCAGGCTGATTTTGAACTGTGAATCAAGTGATTTCAGACTCAAGATTAGACTCAAAAGAGTGATTAGTTCACAAAGTTGGCTGATTTGGAACTAGAATTGTAAGAATATCAGATTTTCACGACACGATTATCATGGACTAAAGAATTTGTGATAATATATTGCGATCTATTCCTGCTAAAATGTCATTTAAAAAAGGGGAAAATCTTGGTGAACTTTTTAATCTGTGAAACGTCTCCATCATGTTTGTGGTCTGTTGTTTCTGTGTGTTCATGTGTCCCTCTCCACCTTGGTGTTTCGATTTGTTGGAAGGGCTGTTTGCTAACATTGCCTCAAAGATTTCTTTCTGTTATAATATGTTCCATCAGCCCTAATAATTCTGTTGTGTTTATGAATCAGAGCTGGCGGAGAAACAGGGACAAAGCCTGACCAAAGTTCCTTTCAAGGACACTTTCTGGAAGGGAACCACTCGAACGCGACCACGTAAGCACCCTCAGAACATCTGATTCCCATTTAAATTCATAACGTAGATGCTTTGGCAAACAAGCATTTTATTGTCATTCAGCATAACTGTAGATTGCCTTATAAAATGATATGAATTCTCCACAACCGAGTTTGATTGTTGTATATTTTTCCCATGATGCCTTCAGGTAACGGCACACTAAACAAACAAGCTGGAATAGATTATAAGCAGCTCTCCATGCTGGCCAAGATCAACGAGAACCACTCTGGGGAGGTGAGCTTATTTACCAAACCACAATAGCTACCCATGTCTCAGAGCGTTTATGGAAGCACTGATGTCTCTGCTCTCTCTCTGGCAGCTGTGGCAAGGCCGCTGGCAGGGCACAGAGATTGTGGTCAAGATGCTTCATGTGCGGGATTGGACTACAAGAAAGAGCCGTGACTTTAATGAGGAGTACCCTAAACTAAGGTGATGAACCGCCAGTCCAGTGTGCCCACATTACACAAATTAAAGAGACAGTTTGCCCAAAAATGAATATTGTCATCAGGTACTCACCTCATGTCGCTCCAAATCAGGGTAAATATAGTTAACTAAATCCCTAAAAAAACATTTTTGTTAACTGAAATAAAAGAAATTTTCTTTTAGTTTTTTATTTTTAACTTGATGTACTGAAATATCTAAAACTGAAATACTGAAAAAACGATTTGTTGGAAGGGCTGTTTGCTAACATTGCCTCAAAGATTTCTTTCTGTTATAATATGTTCCATCAGCCCTAATAATTCTGTTGTGTTTATGAATCAGAGCTGGCGGAGAAACAGGGACAAAGCCTGACCAAAGTTCCTTTCAAGGACACTTTCTGGAAGGGAACCACTCGAACGCGACCACGTAAGCACCCTCAGAACATCTGATTCCCATTTAAATTCATAACGTAGATGCTTTGGCAAACAAGCATTTTATTGTCATTCAGCATAACTGTAGATTGCCTTATAAAATGATATGAATTCTCCACAACCGAGTTTGATTGTTGTATATTTTTCCCATGATGCCTTCAGGTAACGGCACACTAAACAAACAAGCTGGAATAGATTATAAGCAGCTCTCCATGCTGGCCAAGATCAACGAGAACCACTCTGGGGAGGTAAGCTCATCTACCAAACCAAACCAAACCACAATAAGTACCCATTTATTCCCAGTGTTTATGGCAACACTGATGTCTCTGCTCTCTCTCTGGCAGCTGTGGCAGGGCCGCTGGCAGGGCACAGAGATTGTGGTCAAGATGCTGCATGTGCGGGACTGGACTACAAGAAAGAGCCGTGACTTTAATGAGGAGTACCCTAAACTAAGGTGATGAACCGCCAGTCCAGTGTGCCCACATTACACAAATTAAAGAGACAGTTTGCCCAAAAATGAATATTGTCATCAGGTACTCACCTCATGTCGTTCCAAATCAGGGTAAATATAGTTAACTAAATCCCTAAAAAAACATTTTTGTTAACTGAAATAAAATATAAAAGAAATTTTCTTTTAATTTTTTATTTTTAACTTGATGTACTGAAATATCTAAAACTGAAATACTGAAAAAACTGAAAACATATAAAAAATATAGACAAAAAAACCGAATAAAAATGACTAAATTACTAAAACTTGAACTAAAATTTAAATGAAAACTAAAAATATAAATAAAAAACTAATTCAAAATAGTAATAAAAACTATAATAGTAGTTTTATTTAATTTTATTGATACTAAAATAACACTGTTCCAAATCTGTATTGCTTACTATCTTCTGAATGCCCTAGTCACACTTGAATGGAGACAGGACATAAAAAGCAACATAAAAAATCCATATGACTCGTGCACTGAAGTCATATGATAGCTTTGTGTGACAAACATAACAATTTAAGTTGCCATTCACTGCTAATTTGCTGCAACTGAATCATTAAAAATCATTCAGGCTGATTTTGAACTGAATCAAGTGATTTCAGACTCAAGATTAGACTCAAAAGAGTGATTAGTTCACAAAGTTGGCTGATTTGGAACTAGAATTGTAAGAATATCAGATTTTCACGACACGATTATCATGGACTAAAGAATTTGTGATAATATATTGCGATCTATTCCTGCTAAAATGTCATTTAAAAAAGGGGAAAATCTTGGTGAACTTTTTAATCTGTGAAACGTCTCCATCATGTTTGTGGTCTGTTGTTTCTGTGTGTTCATGTGTCCCTCTCCACCTTGGTGTTTCCCCTGTTGTAGAATCTTCTCCCACCCAAACGTGTTGCCCATGTTGGGGGCGTGTCAGTCTCCACCTGCCCCTCATCCAATCATAATTACACACTGGATGCCCTATGGCTCCCTTTACAATGTGCTTCATGAGGGGACCAGTGAGTAAAACACATGTCTCACACAGACCATTTGGTGTTTGTCAGCTTCATTTGAATGTTATTGAATGTTAGAAATATGCTTAATTGCTCTTTAAATTCTGGACATGACATAAAAGAGGAAGTCTTTTTTCTGACTCATCATGAAGTTAAACCTAATTCTTAAATTTAACTTGAATTTAAGTTAAACCCACTCAATCCTTCTCCTGTATCTTCCTCGTTCTTTTGTCCATCTAGACTTTGTTGTGGATCAGACGCAAGCAGTGAAGTTTGCTTTGGATATAGCGTGTGGAATGGCTTTCCTGCACACACTGGAGCCCATGATCCCTCGGCATTATCTCAACAGCAAGAGCATCATGGTGAGGAACTTAAAGCAGACATTTCCTGTTAATCTTGGTTTCTACAACTTTTTCCAGAGTGTCTATTCCTGTTCTACAAGAGAGCATGAAGATGTGTAGTTACGAGCATAGCTCTAGATTCATTTCCACAGACTTTAGATACTCAGGGTTAACCGGTGATTGCAAAATACAAGTTCAAGGTTTGTTTATTTGCTGTCATGGTGTGTGAAACTGATTCAGTGGAACTTGCCCTCCATAAATTTAGTCTCAGTGGATAGACCACTGTGAACAGGAACTGCCACAAACAGTCTCAGTTCTCTGTGAAGTTTCTGTGCATCCCGTCACTAGTTCAGAGTTTGACATTGTGGAGTAATGCAGTGAAAGTACATTCTTTGGTAGTGGTTTTTTTATTGCCTCTTAAAAGTTTTGGAGTAACAGACATCAATGGTCTGTAATGTCCAATGGAAAAGTCAAAATGTAAAGGTCACGATCAGTTTAAAGCACAATGGTCAAGTAAAGCCAAGCCCCAACCAAACGACTTCTCAAAATGCTAATAGCTGTACTGGTCACATTACATTACACTCCAGCAAAAACCTGAGCTTGTCCTAACTGACTGTTTCATGCTAACATCCTAATGAATCCGTTCTCATTGATTTATTGACATCAGATTGATGAAGACATGACAGCCAGGATAAGCATGGCAGATGTGAAGTTCTCCTTCCAGTGTCCCGGCAGGATGTACTCTCCCGCATGGGTGGCACCTGAAGGTACTGTTCCTTTCCTTCGCTCTCTGAATTCTTAATTTCAAACTTCAAGAAGATTTTACATTATCCACTTTATTTGTCTAAGGTATGATCACATTAGTGACATTTCTATGAATTTTCTCAGGCAAAAAAAGTTTCATTGTCTATTGTCAGTAGTGTAGCAAAAGTCGTGAAGCACAGCTCACACAAAAGTCACATTCAAACCAAGCAGCTTTCTGTCAGTCAACGCTGCAATTCTGCATGACCAGCTTGAACCCATTGTGAAATTTGCATTGGAGAATCTTTAGTTTTTGCCCAAAATATACAAACGCGTGGATTCCTTTTGAAATGACTGGATTTTACCTGTGGAAATTTGCAGAACAGAGGTAAATGTGACCGCACCTTAAACAGGACATTTTGATTCACTGATAGCTTAACATCTCGCTTCACGTCTCGTCTCAGCCCTGCAGAAGAAGCCAGAGGAGATTAACCGGCGCTCTGCAGATATGTGGAGTTTCGCTGTGTTGCTCTGGGAGCTCGTCACCAGAGAGGTGCCCTTCGCTGACCTCTCAAACATGGAGATTGGCATGAAGGTGAGACTATTCTATGACTTTGGAAAGCAAGAGCCGAACCAAAAAGTTTTGGGGTGCTTGGGGCAAAAATGCCCCCAAAATAATATTGCTCCCCAAATTGAAGATACAGTGGCAAAAAAATGTCCCCGCAAAGTTAAACTAAAATTATTACGGCCGTCACCATTCTTGTGAGAGTGCTGAACTCAGTGAACTTGCAATGAACTCATTAAGCACTTCAGTCATGGGGAATATTCTTTGCTCGCTTTCTGAATAAAATTTATTCCCAAATTCGTTACTAAGATAACCAGTGTGAAGAGGTATATAATGAATTCTGTTAACCAACATTACTAATCATTATTACAATATCAAGGGCAGTAATTGACAATGATTTTTGTTATAATATTCCAACCTTTCACTGTTGCTATTCTGATTGGTTGATTGATTGAATGAATTGATTTATTTAAATATTTGACAAAAGTTCAAATGCACCAGGAAATCACTTTTAAGGGGCAACTATTGACTCTTAAAGGAATAGTTCATCCAAAATGAAAATTTACTGAAAATTTACTCTCCTTCAGGCCATTCAAAATGTTGATAAGTTTGTTTCTTCATTTGGAATAGAAATTTAACATTACATCACTTGCTCACCAGTGGCTCCTCAGCAGTGAATTCACAGCAGGAAAATTAATTTCTGACCCTGGCTATCCCTTCTATCTTCATTAGGTGGCACTAGAGGGACTGCGGCCCACCATCCCGCCGGGCATTTCGCCCCACATCTGCAAGCTAATGAAAATCTGCATGAACGAGGACCCTGCCAAGAGGCCCAAATTTGACATGATTGTGCCCATCCTTGAGAAGATGCAAGACAAATGAAATGGCCCTGCTGGACGACTCCCTCAAACACTGAGTTCACAGTATTGCCTTAAAATTCACCACTCACCAAAGTGCTCTATGCCACTGTAGCCCTCTGCTAAAGAAAAATGCTTTGTGGAAATGCTGTTGAACATTTTTAAAAGCCACGTTCTCATTATCGCCTATATTCTTATATGCAATCATTGAATAATGACATGTGTTTGTGCATATAAATGTTCATCAGTCCTTTTCTATAGCCATTAAACAGGAAGTGGTGGCCGCAACAGCCCTTGGACGCAGTGAATGTACAGTAAAATTAGTTTTCAAATCCACTCCCACATTTTATGCATCCTTTTGCTCATTTCACTCCGTTAAAAAGACATCACAGATCATTTCATCAGCTTAAAATCAAAATAATTAGCAAATGTGTATACAACAGCCATTGTTAGTATTTAAAGCATCGTGCCATTGTCTTTCACTGTGCGTTTTCTTTGGATTGTCCCTGAAAATAAAAGTTGATAGGCTCGAGTTTGCTTGAGATTTGTTTTAAAAAATAAAAAAAACGCTGCAATAATGCAATGGCTAATGCCAGTTTTATGCCTTATGCAAAAATTAACCAAAATATGAAGTGCCCATAATATCATGATTGTACTGTCTCTCTCATAGCAGGGAGATACATATTATAAAAACATGTGATGTTAGATGGCAAAGAGAATCTATAGGGACCGATTGTTAATTTCTAACAGGTACCATATGTTCAAAGGAAGAGCCATTTACACACGTCACATCAAATGCGAGAACTCGCTTGCCACATGCATGAGTCATGTCTCTTCTCCTTGCTCCAGAAATCTACATATTTACTTGATCCATACAAATGCATGATTGCTACGTCCTCTGTTGTTACTAACACTCCTCCTGCTCCTGTATTCTAATTTACATTACATGTTAAGCATGTTACGTCTGAGAGATTTTTATACTGTATACAAATGTTAGTGGTTTTTCATGGGCGATACATTAGGGAGCCCATGAGTGCCTTTATTTTTTTGCTTTTCTAAACACTACATCTATTTCCTTCTTTATTTTGCTTTTACTGTGTTCCTCTTTTCAGCTAGCCATTGTATAATAGGAAACCAAGAGACGAAAACAAGCATACTTGACATGCATAAATGTATCTTTTTTTATTTCAGTGTTTCTTTTTACGTTTTGAAAAGCAAACAGCGATGATAATGAAAAACAGACTGATTATCTAACTTATGCTCACTGTTTTCTGACCCTGTGAGGTTTTTAATGAAACTTTGTGGCTTTTCTTTATTCTTTATTTTTGAGATTTGGGCTGCTTATATTATATTCATGATAACTAAAGTTTACTAAAGGAAAATAAGAACAAATAAAATGTTTTGGCCATGCTAAATGCTTCAATCTGTGTCATAAAATAAATTATTGGGTTGTTGACATGAAATAATATCAAGCAATGCCAGCAGTGTGTTGCGATGTGATATGCTATAAGCTACTTCTAAATAAAGGGCTTTTTAATTTTGTTAATTTTTGTATAATTATTCAATGGAGTCATGAATAGCATTTTTATTTACCTGAACAATATATATGTGTGTCTATATCTATCTGACTACCTGTATATATATATATATTCGTATAAAAGTAAAATTTGAAAGTCATGTTTTTGGTTACGTCACATGACAAAATTTCATAACGATAGTTACACACGTTTTTTCAAATGGCAATATTTTTAAACAAAACCGCTTCACTTACAATATTTTAAAGCGTATGCCACCATTTTCAGTTTCAGTTCAGAAGAATTTCTCAGTCTTTTAAGAGGTTTTTGTTTTGCTTTTTCCATATACAATCTCTGAGCAGTCTATTTTTGAATAATTTAATAGAATAGACGGAGAATTATTGTACTAGATACTAATATATAAAAGATTATTTTAGTTTCATGTTTACAAAAGCGATTGGCCACGTGATTTGTCAGCTGCGTTGTCAGCATGTCACGTGATCCGTCAGCTGACGGTATATAAACTGGTCAGTCGCCCGGGACGTGTATTGTCATTTTATACAGTCTATGGTGTTGTCAAAACAGACAACTGACGGACTCCTCAAAACACAGATTAGTATTCACAACTGCCTTAAAAGACGCGGATTCGCGTTATTTTGATTCTTGTTTTATTTATACATACAGCCCAAGCGTAACACTACTTATATTTAAAGACGGTAAAGACTTCATGTTCTGCCGGGTGACTGATGACAGTTTACCACTGCAGTGTAGCTCATCACAAGTCCAGGATGAAGCGTCCAGTGTTCGGGGTCTGCGCTGTTTTCACAGTCTGGATTTTGTTTTCGGCGCCGTCGGGTTCCTCATACCCTCTTGAAGTAGGAACAGAATCGGCCAAGCTGACTTTCGTGGAGGAGTTTGGTCGGTTTCAGCTCGGGTTCAGCTGGCGCAACATGTCCTGCGCGGTGTGTAAAGCGATCTTCGCCACGGTTGACATCGCGCTGCTGGTGAGACAAACCTCTGGTTATTGTCCATTATAAATTCCCCTGGCTTTATGTTGTAATAAAAGTCGCCTTATTTGCTGTCATTTGCAAAAATGCTGTCATAGTAGACTGAAAAACTTTATATATGTATATATGTGTGTGTGTGTGTGTATGTA